CCAGAGATTTCGGTGTTTCCTGGATTAAGACCGAATCACCACAACTTCAGTTTCAGTTTCAGCGGAGGTTTTAGGGAGAACTATTATACTGTTGAGCAAAATTGTCCTTTAAAGATTTCTACTTAAAGCCAATAGAGCTTTAGAAATAATTTCATATTAAAAGCAGAACCGATGGGAGATGTTTCGTTAAATTTTTTTCATAGCGTTTATGATAAGTTGATATTGAACTAAATAATTCACTTTGCGAATATGGATACGAACAAATATATTTTTTATTTTGATTTGATTCCAAAATAAGATAATAAGATAGAATTATTAGAAAAATGATTCTAGGGAGTACAGTGCTGACAAATTAATCTGCTAAGTCTGCTCATTATAACTGCATAGTCGCCGATGTTGCAATACCTGGAATTTTCTCGACACTGAGGGTGTAAATCAATACACATTGACGGCGAAGTTGAAGTTGAATTACCTGGAATGCAAAAGACCATAGTTAGATTTTTAAATATGTGCATAAATTGTCATGAGTAGTCATTAACTGAAAATATTAAAAATCGAAAAAAATGAAGGATTTTAGCTGTAACACTGGAATTTATGGCAAAAATATTGAAAATCAACCTGGTAAGCAATCTCTAAGTCCACACGTCTTTTTGCAAGATCTGTTCATGAAATCCGTAGATCCGTATAGGATCCAAACGGAAAATAGCTGCACAATTATCGCTCTCATCGGGACATATTCCGCTAACACCTGGTCTATTACAAAGACCACATGTAATTGGGCATATCAATAAAGCGATACTAGGTGAAGTTGTACAAATATTCGACCCATTTTTTGGCATATATCGGGGCTGATTGCGCAGTGGGCTGTCGCTTTTGTTTGACGCGCGAGTACGGGGGTTCTGGTTCCGGGGAAACAATTCCAACTTCCATGATTCGCTCTCCTTGAAGTTAAAAATAAGAGAAAACTGCTGATCATCGTGAAAGTTAAATTCCTTCGATTTACAACACATCGCAGAGGTTTTTGGGCATATTTTTGCTGCGAAATCCTTAATCTTATTGCACAATTCGGGAATCTTATAATCATGATCACTATAATAGATGAGATTTTTGGGCCTATTTTTGCTGCGAAATCCTTAATCTTATTGCACAATTCGGGAATCTTATAATGTTCATTCCTATAACAGATTGCTGATAGGGCGCTTCGAATATTACAATGGTATTCGTCTCTTATAGATTATTATGGTCTGAAAATGCAAATAGGGAACTACCCAAGCACTTTCAAATTCGATTTTGTCCCAGTTAAGAGTCGACCTGACGAAGGAATATGTGAATCTTCTCTTTTATCGCGTCATTTTTTGAAACTTTGAAAAAAATATATTTACAGAAATTATTGTAGCGATTTTAGTCATTCAGAAGTACTTGGAATGTAAGGGCTAAAAAATACATACACATTAACATTGTTTGCTAGATCTTCATCATTATTGTCGTAAACAAATATTGATGGACAAACTGGATCCTCTGAACCACAATCCACAGTTGGTCGTCTCCTAAGAATATTTTGAGCATTTCCAACAAGTTTAACACATTCTTCGATATCCGCATTGGCTGCAAATGCCAGAGGCAGAAGGAAAAATGTTAGAACAACGGCGAACATAAATTTTTTAAATTCTGAATAACAAGTTCACAAACCCATACATTTTTATAAAATTTTGATATTTATGTTCATAAGACGTGTGCATATAAAATTTAATGAATGAATGACGTAAAAAAGCTGGAAAAACAAGTGGCATGAAAGTTGAAAAAAAAATATTTGTCGTCGCGAATAATACTGTAGCAGATATAAGTTTCTGAT